TATATATATATATAATTTTATGATAAATCTTTTTAAAACATTTTTATGAAATTTTGAACATGACTTGTGAACCAGGGGAGGACCATTGCAGGTTCATGGACCCCAATTTGAGATATGTTGATCTAGATGATAGAAAGAGTGTGAACTTGGGTATATTTAGATTTTTGTAAAGCTTTTAATATGGTGCTACAAAAAAGATCAGTTAAGAAAATCACATTAATGGTCATGGAAAGACTAGTTAAATGGACTGTATGATGATTGGATAAGACAAACCAAAGTGTTGTTATTAACAAATTAGTTTAAGCTGCTAATGACATTAAACTCTTGGATATTTCTAGCAGAATTCAGGATACTGAGGTACTACAGCATGAAGTGGCTCAATTGCTAAGTTTGAGAAATATATATGCCATATGACACTTAATAATAGTAAGTGCAAGATAATGCAACTGGGTTATCATTATTGGATTATACATTTAACATAAATGGGAACTCAATGAATAGTGTGACAGAAAGAAAAAAGGTTTTAGTATAAAAGTGGTTAAGTCACTAAAGCCATCCAGACAGTGCTCTATGTTGCTAGTTATAAAGCTAATAGAATTTGAGGGTGATTTATAGACAAATTAATAACAAGTCAAAAGAGTTTATCTCGCAATACAAACCACTAGCTACGCCTCACTTGGAGTACCATACACAATTCTGGTCTCTTTACCCAAATATTAAATTATTGGAAAGGGTTCAGAGAAAAGCTATTAGAATGATCCTGGGATGAAAGGGCTCAAGTTTAAAATATTTTCTTTTCTTTTAAGAATATAAGGATAACAGTTGATCTTATTTAAGTTTAAAAGAGCTTTCAGGGGGGTTGATAGGATAAAGGTTTGTTTGTAATTAAGCACAAAACTATACAAAGAGGCTATCTGTGCTGTGCCCAACACGGGTATCAAAACCTGGTTTCTAACGTTATAAGTCTACAGACTAACCACTGTGCCACTGGGAGGCAATAGAACAAAGACCTCTATTTCTTTTTCTCTATTCTGAAAATAAAGTGAGAAGACAGAAGTTTAAAATTTTGGAAAAGAAAGACTAGACTCCACTTAATACAATTATATTTGTCAAACAGAAAGACTGTTTTATGCAGAATGAGTCGCCATGGGATGTAGTGGAGGCTGGCCCTTCCTTTTCTCAAGGGCAGGTGAGCAAATATTCTATTGTTACATTAAATTACTGGTTACATTAAATAGGCAAGATCATTCATTAACAGCTGTTAAGCCTTTTATCATAGTAAGACATGCAAATATATATATATTTATTTATTTATTTTTCGAAAATACTTATCTCATTCTATAATACTTTCAACTGGGCTTTAGAAAGTAACAGTGGGTTATATAATTTATGTAAAATTAGGTTTCATTCTAAACACAAATCTGGATAATAACCCCTTTTTAGATCAAGTAAAAGTTTAAAGCACATTTATCAATAGTAATACTTATTATTATGAAAATTCTCACACTCGATTCAGTTTTATTCAGAAACAATTTACCTGCATATATCCAACAACAATTCACACACTAATATTATTGCTTATGGTATTATATAACTTAATATACATTTTACATTTTTGCCATTAATTTGTTTGAAATTAAACACAAGTATGTAATACAGACACAGTGAAATATATGCTTTTTGGACCCATATAGGAATGTTTGTATCAAATGTCAAAACATTACAGAACTAACATTACAAATGAAATCAGATTTACAAAGTAACACATTTAGAATCATAAACAAGAAAGAGTGTCTCTTACTACCACAATTACTTTAGATTTTGTATTAGGTGATTAGAAAATTACAACCCCAAAAAAAAGAAATACGATATATTTTGAAAAAAATATAATGTGGCAAAATTAGACACTGAGAAAAAAAACTTATTTTGATCATGACTTAAATGTCAACATATAATATGGCTAATAAATTATTATTTATTAATAATATTATTATCAACTATAATCTAAACTTCAAAACTGCAAAAATGAAATGAAAACACAACTTGTACTTTTTTAACTGAAGCTCAAATATAATGAAAGTAAAGAAATTTCATGGACTGACAGGTCCAGATCAATAATATGTGGGAGGGGGAGAGCAAATTTTGTAGAGTACTTACAATTGATCTTCACAAACAAGGCCTAACATAGACAATGGATAAATAATATAATACAATATAAGATAACATTTATAATAAGGTAACAACAATTTTTTTTTCTAAGCAATGATGACAAATTTTTTGTTAAATGGCCATATAAATATTTATGAAAGAGTAAGCTGTAAGAGCTTGTTGATGAAAAATTACAAAACTATAGATTTATAATAAGAAACGACTAAAATTAGTGTTGTCATGGTGACATAGCTGCAAATGCTTTTCAATGAGTCACCCAGTTTGTGATTAATTTTTTCTTTTAGTTGGGAGTCCTCCTCAATCCAGGGGTATGGTACAATTGCCCCCACCCCACCCCCAATACAGCCCTATTGTCTGCAACTTGTAACTAGAGCTGAACTTAATTTAGCACCTTATTTTGTCTACAATTGAAATGTTATTAGTGCTACCAACTTTAGATTTTATGTCAAGCATAACATGGTGCATTACTACCATTAGCCGTAATGGTTAGATTTGTGGAAATTTAAGTACTATTCAATATTTTAAACCAAATTGATCTATGTTCCAATTAAGCAAGCCTTAACGTTAAATATTTACGATTATATTTTATAATGAATACATTATACGGTGTAGACGATACCAGCCAAAGTATAAAATTTCAAAGACTACCGTTATTATATATTGTAGAACTTAGAAGGTCCTGCAGTCGTTACTGCCGCATTTAACATAAACTAAGAATAAAGAAATGTCCAAATGTCAAAGAAATTGAGAAAAGGTTCAAAGTTTATTAAGCCTAACGCTAAGCCTAACATTAAATTTTAAACTTCGTAAACTACGGACTAGGAAGAAGGGTGTGATAAGTGATGCCTGAGCAGACAATGTCCTAATTTTGATTGACGTTATTACGCTCGATTTCGAACATGCACATATCAAATTATAATTTCTAACTTAGCCGATATTATAATAATTTCATGTATCAGCATTGAAGCATATATTATATATATATATATATACACAGCACACAAAGTTTTCCAGAAGCAAAACTCACCATACATTTGACATGGCAGAAATAGCGCCGCACGAATATATATATATATATATATATAATGAAAGGGCTTTGACTTATACAACACCCAATGCAGTACTACTTAGTCACGTGGTATGCATGGTAATCTTCGTAACTAAATATTTACACGAGGACACACCACGAAAACAGCATGTCGTGGGTGTTACAATGAATAGCATCCCTTTTCTCTCTGTTTCTCTCCTTTTTTTTTTAATTTGGAAAATGTGCTAATATATAACTTTTAAAAAATACTACTGGTTCAGTTTTAATTGTTTAGTTAATCACAATCTAAAAGAGACTGAAGGTTTGTTACTTTGTTTTTGACCACAAAGCTACACAATGGGTGGTATGTGCTGTGCCCACCACGGGTATCAAAACCCGGTTGTTAGCTTTTTAAGCCTCTGACTTACAGCTGAGCTATGGGGAAGGGTAAAGAGAAGAAAGGAATATATCTTGAGGACTTGCGTACATGCTTATTTTATAAATTCATTCAAATTTGGCCTCGGGCCCAGATCACGATAAATTTTGATTCAAATCATTACTGCAGAATTTGACAGAATTGCCTAAGTTATTCATTTCGTAGTATATTTAAAATGTTCACCTTAAAATCGTACAAACATGTTGTATGTGAGTTTGTAACTTGAATGCATATAAATTTCTCAATTTTCATGTTATTTTATAGTTTTCCACATTATATGTGAAATGTCTCAAATAACACCTTTTTCCTTACGTCCCCCCCCCCAGTGGCACAATGGTATGTCTGAGGACTTACAACGATAGAATCCGGGTTTCGATATCCGTGGTGGGCAGATAACAGATAGCCCATTGTGTAGCTTTATGTTTAATTACAAACAAACAAACAAATCCTTACGTTTATTGAAACTGAATATAGTTAATTTTATTTCACTTATTAACCGTGTCATACACTCCTCTATTATGTGTCTTATCAATGCTTATTGATAAATTACTTTTGGATTTTGTAAGCTTTTTTAAAAAGGAAAAACATAATCAATCTAATAGTTATCTAACAAGATTATTTTTCACTTTCACCTGACCTTATTGATACACAACTTTTAAAGAATGACCAAATGCAAACACTGTATATAGTATAATTATCAATATCTGGCATTGTAATTACTGAAATAGTCATAAATTTCACTCTTCCAGCTTGGGCCTGGCATAGTAATGTGGCCAGAGGGATCGCCGAACATGCTCGCCCTTTCAACAGTGGGGTCATTATAATGTATCGTTCAATCCCAGTCTTCGTTGACAAAAGAGTAGCCCAAGTATTGGCGGTGGGTGGTGATGACTAGCTGCCATCCCTCTAGTCTTTCACTGCTAAATTAGGGACGGCTAGCACAGATAGCCCTCGTGTAGCTTTAGGCAAAATTCAAACCAATATTCCAAAGTGGCGTTTCTAGAATATTTTGGGAGTGACAAATGTTGGGCAAAGAGTTAGTTTTGGAGTACAAAATAATTAACACTTGTATGCCAGGGGGAGTCATAATAGGGAGTATTCAAAACTTTTAAAAATATCATGTCTCAGATGGGATGCTGGGAACAGAACTCTCCAGTAAGAAGGGGGAGTCTGCCGCCACCCTTTTGACACGCCCCTGCTCTTCCATAACTAGTTCTAAATTTTCTTTTACCTAGGTAAATGTTACATACGCCTACAGATAAAAACTCATACCAATTTGATCCTGTGTGTGAACCTCCTGGGAAAGGGCGAATCCATCTCAAGGGATTGCACAGATACTTATACAAATTAGTATGAATCAATGGTTTTCCTCCCCTATAAATGCTGTTTAGAACAGTCGATGACTTCTGCGATCGAATCCCGGGGTGTTGTCCGACTTTCCAAGAGTCCGAATCCGCTGGGTTAGGAGTGATTCGAGTTCGAGCGAGATTGGTAGTGAACAATGCCACGAAAAAGTGAACGGGCTAGCAATCATACTGAGAGAGGAGGGAAGGACGTGGACGACCCTCGACGATGGGTGAATGGGTCGGCCACTTCTGGCCCAGTTAGCGTGTCGCACGACATGGAATTTGATAGAGATTGTGCCGGCAAACAAGTGAGATCCGATTCAGGATCAAGTGTCGAATCCATCGGACACAAAAAAGTCGACTCCAGATAGAAAACAAATAGTTTTTGTAACATCGCCGGACGTCAATATTGCGAAGGTCTATCCAATGGTCTTAAGTAGAGTCCTTAATGATATCATTGGGCCCACTGACAAAATCCAATTT